AGAGAGAGAGAGAGAGAGAGAGAATGTGTGTGTATATGTTGGTTGGAACAGTACTTTGTTACATATATGTTATACAGTAGTCTCCGCCTAAGATCCCGGTGCTCGGGAGCAAGGAAATGCGGGATCTTAGGCGAACCGGGATCTTAACCGATGAACCCAGGGAAGAATCTATGGAGACCCATGTTAAGGCTCACAATCGATAAAATGGTCTCCCTCCACTCTAAGATGAACTGGCGTGCCCCCTTGGTGGGTTTATGGCATATGGCGAGCGAAGAGTGGTTAACTTTGATGACCTATCGCAGTGCATAGGGGCATGAGGCGAGCCTTTTTCACTTATTATCCTATCATGAGTCTCAAGATCTACGCTTCAGATGCCCCTCCCCTTTACCTGTCGATAATCTATAGCTTTCCATCTCTGACGGTGTCCCCCCCCCCCCCCCCAAACCGCCTTTGTCGTTACACACCATTACGTTGTAAACACACCAATTAAAAGTCAGTCTGTCTCGCAATTTCGGGAATAGAGACAACTGCTGTAATGGTCAGGGAAGAGTTTGTTCACAGTTCAATGTGATTCCACCTGGAGGGAGCATATAGGCCCTACCCACCCAGCGAGTGATGTAAGTTTAGGGGGAGAGCTCAGGTGTGAGTGCGATGCGTGGGGAAAACAAACGTGTCGGTCAGTTCACACCCCGGTGTGATCCCGTCTGGGACAAACAATGTATCGCTTCATCGAGTTTTACAACGCATATATATGTGATCACATTCATGATAGTGGCTGATCTTTGACGCGACGGACAGTTTGTTGATCTCAACTTTTCACTCTTGGTTGATCGGCTGTCCCGCCCGGGTTTTTGTTCCGCAAATTATGATCTGAAATGCGGGATCTTAGCCGAATGTAGACCTTCAGAGTGAATCAGAGCGGGATCTTAGGGGTGACTTTTGTATAGTAAAAATTCTGTTTTCTTAAAACAGCGGGATCTTAACCCTCATCCAGCGGGGAGCCGGGTTTATGTAGCCCGATAAGCCTATTTCGGCACCTCGCCTGCGTTCTGGTCCCGAATCAGTGTAGCCCCTGGCTCAGCGCACGCGCATCCTCTTACGTGTCATTCGGGTCCCGACTCGGATCCCCATTCACGCAGGTCAAGTGTGTGTGCGTCAGTCTGCTTGAGTTTGTGTGCGTTTGTGGCCTTCTCCTAGAACCGCCTGCGTTGGTTCGTAATCGAGGCATACGTCTCATTCAAAACATGCCAAGCTGGTAGTTCTAGATGTTCGTCCAATGAAATTATAGAAGAAATTGACCCACTTAAACATGAGGAGCTCGAAAGGATAGTCAGGAAACAAGACTTTCATAAAATATTTCAAATGAGCTTGATTTTGTATGAAATGATACAACCTGATAAAAAATAAGCTTGTTTGATAGTTTTGAATACCCGTGTGCAGGTACAAAGAACAATTTGAGTGTAAAACATTCGGAAATTGACCTAAATTATCCCCTTTTGAACTTCAGGTCATTCATAACAACAAGAGCGTCCAGAAAGGTTATTCGAATGGGCGTAACTACTCGTAATGTCTTATCAGCTTATGAGAGGGGGTTATTCATGTGTTTGTAACACTTTATAAATAGAAAGCTATGAAGGATAGAGCGTTATTTTCATCATCGGTAAACACACTCCCGCGATATTCATGGCGAAAACACACGTTTCCCGGCGCGCGCTGTACACCAACAGTACACACTGAGTGACCCCGGCAGCCTGCCCGGCACGTCCGACGTAATCGGTTGCTGATAAGATACGCATCTGGGCACAGACGCAGGATAAGAGTTAAGCGAACCGGGATCGTAAGCGGTGGGATCTTAGGCGGAGACTACTGTATCTTCAAAAGGTACTGCGGGAAAACAAGACTACTCAACTTTGGCAGTAACCTATTTTGCATTTAGTCACC